AAAAAATACAACAGCAAAGTGTGGGGCACTGCAATCTGCCCCAAATCTCCCCGTTTTTCCCCCAAAATGTGACCTCCTATTTGGCTCAATAGCTAATAATAGGTGGGAATAAAGGAGAGGGGACCCCACCCCCCCCAAAAAAAAAAAAAACAACCAAACCACAGATGGTTATGAAGGATTGTCCAGAAATGCCTGATGAGAAGCGTGGGTGGAATTTGGGGTGAGGAGGAACCCGAGGGGCATTTTGGGGATGTTTTGCCCCAAATCACCCCATTTTCCCCCCAAACGCAGCGCCTTATTTGGCTGAAAGTGCCCCCCAAAAAGGGGGGAGGAGCAGAGTTTGGGGTGAGGGCCACCAATCCGCTGCTTTATGGCAGCGGCGCGTCCCGCGCGCGAGCGAGGCGGTAGTTCTTGGGAGAACCCCACCGCCGGAGCTGAATTTTGGGCTGAAAAAAGGCCATTTTGGCATTCCTCCTCCCCCAACCCGACACTCACCGGTTGAGAAAAGTATTCCCGAATGGGTTCAGCTTCCGGAAGGGTTTGTTGGGGTCGACGATGAGCGCGTTGCCCGGCGTGATGCCGGCGGCGTCGCCGTGCATGATGGCCACGAAGGAGTCGGTGGTGGGCTCGGGGCCGACGCGGGCGCCAGGGATGTCCTCCTCCAGCAGGTAGCGGATGAAGGTGGTCTTCCCGGTGGAATATTGCCCCGCCACCAGCACCATGGGCTTGTTGTCGAAGTCGGCGTCTTCCAACGCCGGCGAATGGAAGTCGTGGAAACGGTAAAACTCCTCCACCGGGAGCAACTTCTTCTTGTAGAGCTCCTTCAGCCCCGCCGTCACGGTGCGAACCACCTCGGGGCTCTTCTTCTCGTGTCGCCGCATCCAGCTGAACATGGTGCTGCCGTCAGCGCCGGGCCATGGGCCGGGGGGAGCTCTGGGGGGGGGGTCTTTGGTGGGTCCTGGTGGACTTCGTTGGGTTTTTGGTGGTCTTTGGGGAGTCTTCGTTGGGTGCTGGTGGTCTTTGGAGGTCTTTGTTGGGTTCAGGTGGTCTTCGGAGGTCTTCGTTGGGTTTTTGGTTGTCCTTGGGGGTCTTTGTTGGGTTTTTGGTGGTCTTTGGAGGTCTTCGTTGGGTTCTGGTGGTCTTCGGAGGTCTTTGATGGGTTTTTGGTGGTCCTTGGGGGTCTTTGTTGGGTTCTGGTGGTCTTCAGAGGTCTTTGTTGGGTTCTGGTGGTCTTCGGAGGTCTTTGATGGGTTCAGGTGGTCTTTGGAGGTCTTTGTTGGGTTTTTGGTGGTCCTTGGGGGTCTTTGGTGGGTTCTGGTGGTCCTTGGGGGTCTTCGTTGGGTTTTTGGTGGTCCTTGGGTGTCTTTGCTGGGTTTTTGGTGGTCCTTGGGGTCTTCGTTGGGTTCTGGTGGTCCTT